CTTTCTTCTCACTTGTCCAAGATTTTAAATCTTGATTCTAGACTAGGGAATTCTTGTCCAGTTTACAAATTAATACAAGTGACAAGTTGGACCCTGTCAAATGAAATTTGAGAAATAAAAAGCCTAACATGCAACAATATTTTCAAAGGCTTTTTTAAAGTATCTAACCACTGGTTTTTCTGTGTTTCATTAAAGTCTCTCTTCGTTCTGGAAATACGCTATGGATAAGAAAATACTTGAAATAACTTGACCCTTTCAAGCTAATGTGTGACACTTAACTACTCAACTCTCTGAGATGAGCCGAATCTTTCCTTTGCCTAGATGATGAGTCAAACACTAGGCATATTAGGGTTCATTTTTGCTTTAGAAGATGTAAGCGTTGTTGGATCAGTAGTGTATGTAAATGGTTGTTTAGACAAAGAAAATATTNCAACAACAACAACCACAAACAAACAAATATTATCTTAGGATTGTTGGAGCGTTAGTTTAGGTAAATGGTTGTTTAGACAAAGAAAATATTTAAGTTTAATTCGAAGGTAAAAAAAAAAAAAAAATGAAGTGAAGAACGAAATTCGAGACAAATGGAAATACTTTCTCCTTAAGATAATATTTCCTCGTGACGGTGCTAACGGTCTACTGATTTTGTCCTCTAAGATACAATGGATACAACTTGTAGTAGAAGTAATTCAAACCACAAATAAAACAACGAACTTTGAACGAATATTTATCTCTACAAGAAAAATGGTTTTGGAATGACTTTTGAAAAGTATTTTGCAAAAGTTTTGATGTAATGCTCAATGCAAAATGATATAGGATGCATAATGGATGTAGATCGGGTGCTATATGTAAAAGATGAAGGATTGTGAGTGAACTGCCACGCCCCAAACTCAGCAACCTTTATGAAGGGAAGCATCCCTTGTTGTTGTTGGCCTCTCGCTCGAGCAACAGTGACACCTATTCATGAAAACCTGTCTCGCTCGCTTCTCGCTAGCTCGAGCGATAGACGAGTTATGGAGTTGGCCATTTTTTCAGCCCGTATTTCCTCTTTTCTATTCAACTTTGAACCGCAATTTTCAATTCATCCGAAACTGATTTTGAGATTCCAAATATACCACGACGGTCTACTCAACGAGTAGAACAAGTTAGTCTATTTATATTCATAATTTGACTATCGGATTAACTCCGAATATTTGGTTAAAGATGACACGAAAGTCCATTTTCCATACTTCACTAAATTTAACTAAATTTTATTTTCGTTCTCTAAACCAAATTCTACCAAGCGTAGTATTGAAAAGGAACACAAGCAATCAGATGAAAGGTCTACGAGCAAAGGGCAACTTTAACTAGGCAATATCAGAATCTCGCATTGATATGCCATCCCCATGATTGTCAATCCAAACACTAATTTT